TCATTGAAATCCAAAGAGCTCTTTTCTTGTGGTTTGTTTATTCTGTTGATTTTCTGGAAGATCCAGCTCTTTGTCTCATTTATTCTTTGTATTGTTTTATTTGTTTCTAGTTTGTTGATTTCAGTTTTCAATTTGATTGTTTTCTGCTGTCTAGTTTTCCACGGTGAGTTTGCTTCCTTTTGTTCTATAATTTTCAGGTGTTCTGTTAACTCACTAGTGTGTGATTTTTCCAGCTTATTTATGTAAGCATTTAGTGCTATGAACTTTCCTCTTAACACTGATTTCATTGTGCCCCATAAATTTAGGTACCTTGTGTAGTCATTTTCATTGAATTTTAGGAAGTCTTTAATTTCTCCCTTTATTTCTTCCTTGACCCATTGGTGATTCAGGTGAGTCTTGTTCAATTCCATGTGTCTGTGGGCTTTCTGAAATTCATGTTGCTGTTAAATTCTAATTTTAAGTCATGATGATCTAATAAGATATATGAGGTTATTCCAATTTTTTGTATCTGTTGAGGTTGGCTATGTTACCTAGTATGTGGTCAGTTTTTGAGAAGGTTCCATGAGGTGCTGAGACAAAGGTATATTCTTTTATGTTAAGATGAAATGTTCCACAGATGTATGCTAAGTCCGCTTGAGTCATAACATCTGTTAGTTTCCTTATTTCTCTGTTAATTTTCTGTCTGGCAGACCTGTCTAGCAGTAAAAGTGGGGTGATGAAGTCTCCCACTAATACTGTGTAGGGTTTAATGTATGATTTAAGTTTTAGAAGTGTTTCTTTTACATATGAGGGTGCCCTTGTCTTTGGGCCATAGATGTTCAGTATTGAGGTTTCTTCTTGGTGGATTTTTCTTGTGACTAATATGAAATGTTCTTCTTTGTCTCTTTTGATTGATTTTAGTTTGAAGTCTATTTTGTTAGACATTAGGATAGCTACACCTGCTTGTTTCTTAGGTCCATTTGATCAGAAAATTTTTTTCCCAATCCTTTACACTGAGGTGATGTCTGTCTTTGAGATTGAAGTGCGCTTCTAGTATGCAGTAGAAAGATAGATTCTGTTTTTGTATCCAATCTGTTAGCCTGTGTCTTTTCATAGGTGAGTTGAGTTCATTTATATTAAAGGATATTAATAACCATTGATTCCTAGTTCATTTTATTTTAGTTTTCATTGTTGGTGATGTTATTGTGTGTGTTTTCCTGTTCTTTTGGGATTTGCTGCTGTAAGATCATCGTGTGTGTGTGTGTGTGTGTGTGTGTGTGTGTGTGTGTGTGTTTGTAGATGTGACTAACTTTCTGAGGTTGGAGTTTTCCTTTTAGTATTTTGTGTAGGCCTGGGTTTGTAGCTAGGTATTGGTTAACTCTGGTTCTGTCATGGAATACCTTGTTTTGTACATTTATGGTGATTGAAGGTTTTGTTGGATATAGTAGTCTGGGCTGGCCTCTATGATCTCTTAACGTCTGCATAATGCTTGACCAGGACCTTCTGGCTTTCATTGTTTCCACTGAGAAGTCAGCTGTAATTCTGATAGGTCTACCTTTATATGTTACTTGGCCTTTTTTCTTTGAAGCTCTTAATATTTGTTCTTTATTCTGTATTTCAGTGTTTTGATTATTATGTGGTGAGGGGACTGTTTCTGATTCAGTCTATTTGAAGTTCTGTAAGTATCTTGTATCTTCATAGGCATATCTTTCTTTAGGTTGGGAAAGTTTTCTTCCATGATTTTGTTGAATATGTTTTCTGGGCTTTTAAGTTCGACTTCTCCTTTTATCCCTATTATTCGGGTCTTTTTCATGGTTCCCCATATTCCTTGAATATTTTGTGTTAAGCTTTTGTTAGATTTAATGTTTTCTTTGACTGATGAGTCTATTTCCTCTATTGTACCTTAAGTGCTTGAGATTCTCTCTTCTCTTGTATTCTGCTGTTTATGCTTATATTTGTGGTTCCTGGCAATTTCCCCATATTTTCCATTTCCAGAATTCACTATGTTTGTGTTTTCTTTATTGTCTCTATTTTGGTTTTCAAGTCTTAAAATGTTTCTTTAACCATTTGATTACTTTTTCTTGGTTTTCTTTAAAGGTTTGTTGATTTCCTCCAATTTTTGTTTGTTTTTTCCTCCATTTCTTTGAGGGAATTTTTCATTTCCTCTTTAAGGGCCTCAAACATTTTCCTAAAGTTATTTTTCAGTCATTTTCTTCTGCTTAACCTATATTGGCGTGTTCAAGTCTTGCTGTTGTAGAGTCACTAGTTTTTGTTTGTGCTGTGTTGCTCTTTGTGGTGTTGAATGTGTTCTTACCTTGTCAACTCATTTTTCCTCTCTGATTGGTGTAGTTGGGGCTGTGTCTTTGGTGATCAGTCTTCCAGGTGCCAGTGGATCCAAGGCTCAAATGGTTGTACCTCATGGTACTTGTTTGTTTCTTAGCTGCCTACACTCCCAAAATAATCATGCAGAAACCATATTATTTGGAATACTGTTTGGCATAAGCATATTTTTGTCTAACTATATCTTAAAACTAACCCATTTCCATTAATCTGTACTGGGTAAAGTTCTGGCACCTGTCTCCTGTGGGGCTACATGGCTTCTCCTTGATTCTACCTTCTTTCTCCCAGCATTCAGTTTAGTTTTTCCTGCCTGGCTCAGTTTTGCCTTGCTGTAAGCCAAAACAGTTTCTTTATTCATTAACCAATAAAAGCAACACATAGACAGAAGGACATGAGGCACTCTTGGGGGTTGCTCTGCAATCCTGGAGGTTGTTCATTCCTGCTCTCACAGAGGTTGCTTGCTTGAGCCTGCTCCTGCTGAAGTCACTGGCTCAGACCTGGTCCAATGGAAGTGGCTGGCTAGGGCCTGCTCTGGAGGAGTTCACTATCTCTGGCCTCTTCCCATGGATGTCCCTGGCTCTGGCCTGCTTCTGCAGAGGTCCCTGGCTCAAGCTCAGTACCATTGAGGTCTCTGGCTTGGATCTGCTCCCTTGATGGTCCCTCCCTTATTCCTGTTCTGTGGAGGTTGCTGGCTCAGGCTTGTTCCTGCAGAGGTCAATTATATATTGGATTTCTTAATAGAATAAGGACAACAAAAATTTGTGGAGGTATTAATGATACCATCAACTTCATAAAGTTTTGGGAAAGAAATTGCATATTTGCTATATGAGTGCCCTTTACTGTTGTTGTTTAAGACAGAGTCTCACTGTGTATCCTAATGGCCTTGAACTTGAGGCCTTCCTGACTTAGCCTTCCACAGTGACTCTTTTCATCCTGGTTTGTTCCTATCCCAATACAGCAAACTTTCTCCACTTACATTGCCTTGGGTTTGGGAGTGGGTTGGCCAAGGAAATTTCCTTTTCACTGTTGTTTCCCTGCTGAATTTCCCAGACACTGGCTTGGAAGATGAGGCCCAGTTCACTGTATGTGATGCCGCCTCATTTCTCAGTCAGCTTGATACCAAGCCACATGGTTGCAATAGAGACAATTCAGCTATAGTTCTGGGGACCCAAGCCTTGGAAGCCAAGGATTCTATCTGTTAGAAGTGAAATGGTTGTGGAGTATTTAGTTCCAGAGTTGTGAACACTGATGACTTGTGTGCTAAAAATGTAAAATCCAGTGATAATAGTTGTTACTCAGCCAGAATTAATGTTAGTATAGAAAACCTGGTAGCAAGGCATGGCAGCCATACAGCCATTACTGGGAGCAAGACTCATGTATGAATTAGATTGACATTTGCCCCCCCCCCCCCGGTCAAAGACTGGGGTTCTGATATGTTGATATGTCACCTGGTTCACTTGATTATCTGATACTGAAGAGAGAGAGAGAGAGAGAGAGAGAGAGAGAGAGAGAGAGAATACTGCTAAAAAGCCATGGTATATTCAGATCTCTGAATGTTAGTCAAGGTCTGTGCACATATGTGCGCATGTGTGTACATGTGTATGTGTGTGTGTGTGTGTGTGTGTGTGTGTGCATGTTGTTGTTGTTGTTTTGTAGAATGGGGAGATACTAGTCCAGAATCATAGTTTAGCACTGGGGAACAATGCTAGCTTAAATCCAGACTTACAGTTTACTTCTGGGAATAAGTTTCCTAGCTTCAGGATGTAGTTTTCCTCATTGTCAAGCTGGGTATTAACAACAGTGTGTGTCTCTTGTGGGGCTGAGAGGACGAAATGAGGCCATCTGAACTAAGCACATTCCATGGAGGGTATTCAACACTGAACTCTCAGCACCCATTAGCATTATTTTGTGGGAAATCATCTCTTTAAAAATCTCTAGATTTTTATTAAATGTCTTACATTCAAAATTGTTATAGAAACTAAGAACTTATTATTTCCAGGTTGGCTTTTTTAAAGGAGATGAAATCTTAACTGTGGTCAAAGAGCACGCTACGGGGCTGCTTCTCATCCTGATGTATGAACGCAACTTTTGTGCTGTGCTGTGACAGACTGACCTTCTTGTCTGCCTACTCAGCCTGCCAGAATATGAAAACTATGCTAAGCCTCCCTCACCTCTGAGTTTGTTCTCACAGTGCGGCCCTCCATTTCTCTCCCACAGCATAGTTGAGTCTTTTATGACAATGCTCACAGATGTTTTCTTTCTTTTAAGAAATCCTAATTGTGCTGAATTAAAAGTCACCAAGATGCCTACACATATGCATGTGCACTCAAATGTATTCATATATGGACACACTCACTCAAGCATATAATGCATAGAAGGTCTTGAGCATTCATATCAACGTAAGATCAACCAAAAGAATATTCTGAAGGTTCAAACAATACTTTCAGTTATTTTCATGGTTTTGGAAACACAGGGACATTATGTAGGGGTTTCTTTTCCCATGGGTAGGCAGTTTCTGACTTAAGAGCCATTCATTACCCAGTCCCATCACCTCCTTTCCCCATTGGGTCTCAGCATAAGTCACATGCTTTGGGTGTCTTTGAAAAGAACTGTGCAAGGTCTCAGCATCTCAGCATCTGTTGCATCCCTCCAGGAACTGTGCTGAATTCTCATTCGTCGCAATGAGTAGCAAATTTCTAGGCACCTGGAAACTTGTCTCCAGTGAGCACTTTGATGACTACATGAAGGCTTTGGGTGAGAAACCCTCCACGGCAAACACCCCTTAACAGACAGACGCAGGAGATTTTCTTCTCACGCCTTTTCCTGGGTGCCTGGGGAATGTCATGTGGGCTGATGTGCAATCTTCTCTGTCGTTCTTGAAATTTACTTCCACCTCATTGGCAGTAAATTATCAGAACTTAACTTAAATGAAGCTGTTTAAATGCATGGGACCGAGAGGCAGTTTCACAGGCTTGTCTTTGGAGACTTGGGAAAAATATTAGAATTTTAGTCAATCCATATTCGGGAATTTTGTAAAAGCTGGCTTAATAGAAATGAATATGCTCATAAGATAAAGAGTTGAGTACTAGAAAACCACAATTTTAAATTTCAATATTTATACAAACTAAAGATTTTTTATTTGCTTTGAGTTTGTTTATTATTAAATAATCAAGTGTGTGAAGCTTGAGGAATGAAGCAGCTCCTACGTGAGGACGTGTGTAACATTTAAAAGTGGCTGAGATCAGAAGAACTGGTTGGCGGCAGTGAGTTCAAATTCAGTAACACTAATGCTGTGTCGGAACACTGTCAACAGACAGAAAAGGCTGATGGACAGTTTGTTTTATTTTGTTTTTTCACCAAGCAGATTTAGAAACTGCAAAATGTCAGAAATGAGATTTAATCAAGGATATAAAAAGGAGGGTTTCACTATGCCCATAGCTCCTTATTGACAGAAAATATTATAGAACAGTGTGGGGGATGGCTGGAGGAGAAGAGAGATAGTCTCATTGAAAGCAACTATGCTTGTAATTACAAACTAAACTGTTTTTAAGCTTATATGGAGCAGAAATGACTTATTCTGTGGTGAGGGTAGCATTGGGCATAGCAAAGTGGGTAAAACTGTACAGTGTTTATGCCATGAACTCTGTGGGCACCACTGCTGGAGCGCTACACTGTCACCAACATGTTTCTCAGCTCATTGTTGAAACATGCAGGAAGTCCTTGGCAGGAAACCCTGCCATCCACTCATTGAAGGTACTACTAAATACAGAATGTGATCACCATTGTCCCTTAGATATGTTGCCTTGCCCCCACAATCTGATGTTGCCTTGCTTTTCAGGTGTGGGGTTAGCCAACAGAAAACTGGGAAATTTGGCCAAGCCCACTGTGACCATCAGCAGGAAGGGGGATTATATGACGATAAGAACAGAAAGCGCCTTCAAAAACACAGAGATCTCCTTCAAGCTGGGCCAGGAGTTTGAAGAAACCACAGCCGACAACAGAAAAACCAAGGTAAAGTGTAGTATTTGTTCTGAAACTTGGTCCAGTCAACTATTGAGTGACAGGATTATTTCTTCTAGGATTATGGGCGGTGGGGAATGAACATGACGTACTGAGACATCTGCCGTGGAAACTGAGGCAAACTAACCATGAACTTGTCTTCGCAGAGCATCGTGACGCTGGAGAGGGGAGCCCTGCGACAAGTGCAGAGATGGGACGGTAAAGAAACAACCATAAAGAGGAAGCTGCTGGACGGGAAAATGGTCGTGGTAAGTGTAATGATATCAGCCACATAGGCTGACACTTCCAGGTTCTAGAGCCATGCACTTGGGGACAAGCCCTCAGACAGAAGTGCCTGAATGTTAGTCCCGCGTGACCCACATGCGCGCATGCGTGGTTACGTCTACATACGACTTAGCTAAACCCTTGCGCGCACGTGTGAGCCTGTCATCTGTGTCATCTGCGTGACTGCTTCATGCTGATTTTGTGGGCGTCGTTGCTGATTTTGTGGACATCGGGGAGTTGAGATGCTTAGTAAGAACATCCCCAATTCTCGAGACAGAAATAAAGCTACATAAATACATTGATTATGCTCGTCTCAAAATGTCCCTTGTTCTTTAGACTACAAATGAACAATAATGCTAAGAATAAAACCAGAGTTAGTGCTTAACTGGAAAGCCATAAAAGATTCATATTTAAGTCCTTTGAGTGTTAGTTCAAGATTTTCAAGCAGCCGTATCAAAACAATAAAGTTTAAACAATATTGAAAATATAGATAAATGTCACTTATTTGGACTTACAACCAAAAAAAGTATACTTGGCAAAAGTAAAATATAACCTGACAGGCTCAATTATAGACTATCTGCAGTAAAAGTACTTTGCTTTCAATAGTCCATAGGAACTTATAAACAATGTAAAAACTGCAATCTAAGCTGTAAATTCTGAAGACCTCCTTTAGTTAGCAGATCCGAATAAGGAAAAAGAGTCAAGATGGACGCGAAGGATTGAAGCCTGTGACTCTGTGCTCACTAATTGGCACATGCATACAATCCTCCAGTGTTTTGGATATTTCTTTCAGTGTGTGGTTCTTAGTTTTCACTATGCACTAGATTTACATGAGGAGACAGTCCCAACATGAGGGCCCCATTATAGATCAATCAATCCGAATCTCTTAGGGAGATTATTGACCGCTCACTGGATAAGGCAAATGTGAAAAATCACTTTTTATTAGTCGCTATTCTTGTGAGCAAAACCAGCTAAAAAGTATCTTCAGAAAAAAAGAACTATGCCAGAGACCTGCTTGGGCAGGGGTTCAAGTCCCAAAGAGGACATGTGGAGTGGGAAGGGGGACGACAGGAGCCAGGGACTGGACACAATCTGAATCAGGATGGTTGCCAGCCGCATTTATTGAAAAAGGAATATGTCTTTTACATTTTATATTTGCGTGTAGGATTGGATGGGAGAACAGGGGCGTCGAGCTGGGGTGTGACTTAAGATCAGGGGTTGAAGAATCCTAGCATTGACTTTGACAATAGTCATATGATAATGAAGGGACATTAAATTTTTCTTGCCAGAGATAAGAATGACTGCTTTAGTAAGTAGGAACTTTCCTCGAGCCCCTAAAGAAATGGAGATCCTTATTCAAATGCCTGACCTTAGGAAGAGGACTTCTAGGGAGCAGATGCTATACTATAACTAAAGAGCAACTTTCATTCCTCACAGGGATAAGCCCTGAGCTGTTCCCTAAATGTGTCTGTGTCTTAATCTTACTACACGGGCCTCCTGATGCCTTACTCTTTTCCCATTGTAACATTCCACTCTGATTTCTCTACACTTGTTAACTGAACCCTTGCCCTAAGTGGCCTCAGACTCTGGATCTGAACTGCAGGCGTTTCATCCTAGATCAGATAAGTCTAGTAAATCTCTAACCTTCCTGCACTCGGTGTAGTTAGGAGAGCACAAGGAGATTCCTGGTTCCGTGGTGGCAGGGAATTCTCTCCAGAGAATTATTTTGTTTAGAGAGAGGCCGCCATTCTACACATTTTCATCCTTCATAACCTGCACAAAATTTTCCAAAGGGAAAGGAATTAATAGTGAGAATCTTTAAAAATGAAAGTTAAAAAAAAAAGTGCTGGGGAAGGGTGGTCTAATGCTGAAAAGCTGGCGCTGTGTCCAGCCGCAGTGGTCACCATGCGGTCCATGGCGTCTCCTCTTTTTTTTTTTTTTATTTTGTAATTTAGACATCTGGAAACTATGGTGAAGAGATCAAATAGGCTTGTCAGTCACCAGAGAAAGACAGAAAGAAGAATAAAAATGAGCACAAAGTCTAGAATAATGCTCAAATTGATAATAAATGAACAAAAGCTTCCTCCTGTGACAAAGGAATTTAAGGAATTTATAAATCTTTCCATGAGAAAGCCAAGAGAGATTGTAACACCATGACTAATTACAGTAATTTGCCCATGTAAGGTCTGCAACCAAAATGTCTGGATTATATAGGGAAGAGCCTCTGCAGGGAAGGCAACCCAGCCGTTGGGCTGGAGAGTTCAGGGAAGAAGGTAGGGTATGTGGTCACACCCTATAACAAACAGCGAGGGACTAAAGGATGCTGGATGACCTGGCAGCCAGGTCCAGCTTTGATTTGATATGGTAAACAGGCACCTCCGTCCCTGCCTTTTTGTTGAGAATAAATGAATGATAAGGAACAAAGAGTTCATCTATGACTACTTCCTGCTGATGCTGGGGCATAGGTGGAAAGTTGACCAAATCCCTTTTTGTCCAGGCTCCGCTCCACCATCTAGAGCTAGGGGTACAATGGAAACTTCTAGATCCATGGTCCTGGTAGCTGGGAGAAGGAAGACCCAAGACCAGGGAAAGGGGGAGAATTCCCACTCCCTCAGGAAGAGGCTACTGATTGACAGTACCTAATCTGTAGTTTATATGGCCTGTGAGGCAGATCCAAGTCAGTTTCCTGAAGCCTATAAGAAGCTGTTAGAAGACTGTGTATGTAGATTAGACAGATGTCTTTAGTACAACAAGAAACACCTTTAAGTCTGCATTTAGAAAACCACCAAAAGAAATGTAAAATGCTGAGCTTGTGACTGAATAGGAGCTGTGCCTTACTGGAGCTAGAGTAACAGGTTATTAGAATTCCATTGGTTAATGCTAAAACTCTGGATTTGTCAGAATTCCATTGGTTAATGCTAAAACTCTAGATTTTAAGTCTTAATGTAACAACAGCATAGAGAGTGAAAGAATTCTGAGCCATTTTCCATAAACCTTAAAGCCATCTTGTTTCTTATAGCTTCACAATTTGCATCCACGTACCTCAAAACACATCTGTATTTTTTTTTATGTCCTCAAACCTTTCTACACACCTTAAACACCATCTTAGAACCCTAAAACAATTTTTTAGAGCCTCATAACTTAAGCTTTCCTGTCCTGAGACCTTACATAAACTTCACACCTTTCTTTTTCAATCACTCACTACAAGACACAGGGCAGTCATGGCAACGTGAGCTTCTTTAAATAAAGGACTAGTAGGAAGGTTCGTTGAACTCTGTTTTGTGGGTTTATTTCTTTTTTAGTATGGCATCTAGGTAAACTGTGTCTGGACCTAGGAGTAGCTCTAGGAAAGCGAGGCCCGAGGCCTGAGTCTTTGAGCGTAGGGGAACAGGGAAGGCAGCTGACGCCTTGGGAGAGAGGAGCTGGGCGCCTCCTCACGTAAAGCAAACTGTCTCCCAAGATTGCACAAAGACATCGTGATAAAACATTTTCTAAACTTAAAATGTTCAAAATCAAATGTTTTCCAGTGTGTTTTTATAATTTAAATGTCTGTAAAACTCCATTTTTTTCTTTTAAAAAAAGTGTACAATCTCTCAGCAATAAAGAGGGGAAAAACAGGGCACAGTCATAACCCACCCAAGGCAGAACCAAGCTCTCACAGAGGGAACAATCTTTTCCAAGGGGTTTGGGTCTCCTCTCTGGACTCAACCTGGGCCGCATTTCACAGACTGCCTTCCAGGTCCCAGCCTGCTCTATTTAACTGTGACTGGGACACCAGCATCTCCGAAACCAGTAAGGTTCACCATTGTAACTGGGTTCTCCTTAGGAACTCTAGCTCTGCCACACATTTGGAAGCCTCGGCTGCTCACTATGACCCCTCATATCTTAAAACCAATTTTACCTGGGGGACTCTTAGTGTTACCAACTCTGGCTTTGTACAGTCTTGCATATCAATGCTTGGAGGTGTAGCTTAACACCTTATTAAACATTATTTTTGAATCCCATCCTTCGTAAACCTTGTTTACGAAGAAACACAAAAATCTATCCTAATTGAAAATATCTCAGAGACATGCTGTTGTCTTTTGGCAGTCTCACTCCAAAGATGGCAGTGGAGTCACATGACATCCATCTTCTCTAACCCTAGCAATGACGGTGACCAGCCACACGGCTGCCTAACGATGGAATCAGACCACATGGTTCTTTTAAGATTCCTATACATAGATTTTAAACTATAAAACCTCAGTGTTACTAGTTTTAACCTTTTTTTAAAATAGATTTTACAGATTTTTAACCATACCCAAAACTTATAAGTCTTGAGGTACAGAATGTTCACATAAACCAAGTCTAATTTTTGGCTGTTCTACTTTGCTTCCTTTTCCCCATCAATGTCAGGTGGATCAACCTGACACAGGTCACAGAGGAAACTTTTAAGTAATGTTATCCACATGAAAAAGACGTTATCCTGCCAAGCTGAATCCAGTGACCAGCGATCTCAGAGATGGTGGTAGCAGAGACACTTCTGTCTCAGCTCCATGCTTGCAACAAAACTTACAGATGTGCCAGAAAACATAGACTAATCCACATAGATAAAATACAGATGAAAATTTCCAGCAACAAACCAGAAGCAAGTGATGGGCAAGGTCTTGCTATTTGCCCTGGACAGAGACTATTGGGGTCCTGTTGAACCTCCTCCATGTTCCAGATGGGGTTCTTACAAATCAGAACCAGACTATGATAATTTAAGTTACACACACACACACACACACATACACATGCTAAAAAAAGAGCTGAATATCACACACACAAGCACAGACACAAACTTACACACACAAATGCACACACACAAATGCACATACACACATGCGCGCACATACACACATGTATATATACACCCATGTATGAAATTTTATAAGTTTTTGTTAGCTGTTAAAGCCAAATTTTGTTGCAAATTATATACATTTTAAACCATAATAAGCAACATACAGTTTTTTTTAATATACCTTAAATCACTTTCTTATCGCTTTTTAAAGCTTTAAACTATAGAGACTACATGAGCCTGGGAGACATAAAAGGTATTTTGTTTTGACCCATGACATTTTAACAAAAGCATCCATCCCTTCACATGGTGGAGGAGCCAGAGGTAGAGGCGGGGCATCGCCGGGTGCAGTTTACAATTTACTGTCAAGGGTCTGGTGTGGCATTACAAAGAGAACAAGTTTCCACTGGCATGCTCTCAGACTCTCTAGAGGTGCTGCAGTGTTGACTGTCTCTACCCACCTTATCCCACGTCCCCAAGTCCAAGGAGCCAAGGACTACATCATTGTACAAATTGTAAGAAGGCTGTTAATTCAGAAGAAGCAACCTTAATTCCTTGTTTTTCTTACGAGTACTACACAATGTCAATAAAGAGTCTTCTTTCTCTAAACTCTTAATGACACAAGACTTCTCCAGTATATGTCCTCCTTCTCTCCTCGCTCTTCGTCTTTCTCTGCTAAGGGGTTTGCAATACCCAAGGTAAGTCCTATCCACACTGAAGCCAGATGTCAAAGACCAGCTTCGGTAGAACAGAAGGTGGGGTTCAGGTCCCAAAGAGGATTTTGACCTATGTTTAGAGGAGATGCTGTCTATCATGTCAGGTAAGACAGGAGACCAGGCACTTGAGGAAGTTTGTCATATCAGGAAGCAAGGACAGATGAACACTAGAATCCAGCCCACCTCTTCTGCCTTAGTCTAAGGCCATGGTCCATGGAACAGCACTTCGCTGATGTGACATGTGCCCAGTCTTCAGGTCTTCTCACCTCAGCCAACCCAACACAGACTCTCCATCACACATGGAGTTTTATTTTGTTCTTGTGAGGACTCTAGTTCCCACAAAGCTGTCAACCAACATTAAGCATTACAATTGTGAATTTTTTTCTTAAATTTCATATCTAAAATTACTGCTTAATAAATATCATGGATTGCAACACAGATCAACTTTAAAAGTTGTCCTCAAATGTCAGTGGCCATAATTGTGAACTGCTAGAGAACTGGCATGTGAATGTTTTATTCCTTTCCAAATGTCATCTTATGAGTTTATTTAGACTACTGTTTTATTCCGGATGTCCTGTTCTCTAACTTGTATTTTACACAGTCAATCTCCCTTTTTTAAGGAATGCATGATGAAGGGTGTGGTCTGCACCAGAATTTACGAGAAGGTCTGAGAAAATCGCTGCATCATTCAACTGGTGCTTCCCCACCTAAGACTGGGAATCATTCAGCAAGACCTGAGGACCCTGCAGCTGGTTTGTCTGGTTTTGCATTTGTCCTGATGTGTCCTATAGGTAAAGGTTTAAACTGAGGATTAACCTAAATTTGTTAATTTAGACATTTTCTGTTTCATCCATGTCTTATTATGTTAATCCTTCTGTATTGACCAGACACAAATAACCCATGAAAATCACTGTCTGCTAAGTGACAGCCTAGGCTGTGCTCATACTGTTTGAAAAGAAGTTATCAATACTAAAACAAAGTAAGAATATTGATCTGGGCAGTGATAAATGTCTCCAGGGGCCTGGGAAGGTATGAGGCAGGGAAAACCACAAAGAAAATAAAGCAAGGGGCTGAGCTGTTTTAAACTGGGGGACTTTAGTTTCAGCCAATAGGAGCAGCCTCCATTCCATTTCGGCCAAAGTTTTATAATGTACAGACAACGGGATACACAGCTATCACAGCAATCGAACATACTATGACAAGTGTAGGTACCTACATAGCTCACCTCCTGACAGAGATAAACACATTTTCTTAATCTTAAAAAGCTTCCTCGTCCCTCTCCAAAGGTAATATCTTGTTCTGTCTCACCCACCAGAAGCAAGATGGTGCTGATTTGGTGCTAGATTAGCTTTTCCTAGAATAGAACCAGACCTCATGCATTCATTTCTGTTTTCATTTTAAAACCTAGCACGATGTTTTTCATACTCAGCCAGATTGTTACATGTAGTAGTAATTTGTTCCTTTTTATTGATGAGTATTATTCCATTGTATAACTGTATCATTTTGATAATCCATCCTTCTATTGAGACAATTGGGTTATAACCCATGTTTGTATATGGTGAATAAAAGCTGCTACATTCTCATACATGATTTGATGAGCATATGGCCTCTTTTGTGTTTGGTAGTCGTAAAATTAATGAATTCAGTAATTCTTGATATGCAAGAATGAGGAGCCACTGTGCTTATGTAAGAACGAAACTAATATATGATTGAGTAAATGAGAATTATGTGACTATTTATGGCAATCACATAAATGAGGAAAATCCATGAATAAATACAAAATGATCAGTGTAAATCCACAGTTTCCATCATGCTGTAAATAGCAGATGTCCCTTTCAGTCACACGTGTTGAAGTCTTGACCCCCTAACTGGTGGGACTATTTTGTGTGATTCTAAAAGCATTAGCAGGTGGGGTCTTCATGGAAGAAGTAGATCAATGGGGGCATGCCTTTAAAGGTTACCCCTAGACCCTTCCCTCTTTTTATGTCTTCTATCTTGAATGAGTCTGCCTCTGCTATACAGATTGGGTGTGTTGATGCTTCGTGGCACCACATGCCCAGAACCAATGTAGCTAACTATCTGAGACTCTAGAATTCTGATTTCTGAAGCTACCAGTCACAACAAGTCCGCCCTCCCGTTGTTTAGACTTGGTGTTTGGTCACAGGTACTAATACAGTCTCCAAGCTATGTGTACGTTTATAAATAGGTACAATTGTACAGACACAACTATGGTGCAGGAGAATTGTCTGTATTCTATCAATCATATTTTAATAAAACGCTGATTGGCCAGGCAGGCAGTATAGGCAGGAAAGCCAGACAGGAAGTAGGGGTGGAGCAAAGAGACTGGGAGTATTCTGGAAGCAGAGCTCCCTCACCACTCCTGCACAGACCATCGAAGAGGCAGCATGTAACATGTCCAGCTGAGAAAGGTATGGAGCCATTATGGCTAACATAGATGAGAATAATGGGTTAATATAAGTTATAAGAGTTAGCAAGAAGCCTGACCTAATGGGCCAATCAGTTTATAACCTTATGGAGTCCTGTGTGTAATTTCTCTTTGGGATTTGCCGGTTGTTGGGGTACCGGGCGGGACGGAAACCCCAACAAGCCGGCTCTCATGCTACACAACTACACGTGTATGTGTGTGATATATGCACACACCTGATGTGTGTTTGCATGCTTGGGTCTTCTGGTTTTGTCTCCCCAAAGAGCTAAGAAGCACAGATACCCCAGAAACATAAGCATGCCTAGCACTCAGAGCTTGTTGTTTGATGTCATTTCTCACTAAAAGGGATGGCTGATTCCACATTAAGACAGAGTAGTACTCAGTGAGATTTTAACTATTTGTGTTTTGTTTTGTTTTTTGAGACAGGGTTTTTCTGCCTCCCGAGTGCTGGGTCACCACTGCCCAGCTAAGATTTAAACATTTTTATACACTAAAATAAAAAATAATCAAAGAAATGAGAGAAGTGTATTACCTGAACACAAAGAAACTTCCCCAAAATACTTGATAAAATCACAAGTTTAAGAATTATTAAGAATTCATAAATTATCATCATGAATTTTAAACCACTGGGAAAAAGAGTAATTCAAGACTCTGTGCTGAAATTATGGCTAGATGATAGATGGTAGATAGAAGATGGGAAGAAACCACAGAATACATGTACCACAGACTGCATGTACCCCAGAGAGCATGTACCGCAGAGAACATGTACCACAGACTGCATGTACCTCAGACTGCATGTACCGCAGACTGCATGTACCGCAGGCTGCATGTACCTCAGACTGCACGTACTGCAGAGTGCATGTGTCGCAGACGGCATGTTGAAGGAGTTCTAGAAAACAAGCATCATTTTTTAACTACCACAGCAAATATTGGCTCAGGCAAGAACTATCAATGGATTATAAAGCTAGAAGAAACTGATCAGGAGTAGCCCAAGCCTGGCTCTTCACTGGTCACCAGGTCACTGGTCACCAGGAGTATTCCTGCCGCCTGGCTCCCAGCTATCTTTATACCCGAAATAATTACAAGCAAACTGTATTCATTTAAACACTGCCTGGCCCATTATATCTAGCCTCTTCTTGGCTAACTCTCACATCTTTATTAACCCATTTCTAATAATCTGTATGTCACCACATGACTGTGGCTTACCGGGAGAGATTCAGCATGTCTGACCTTTCAGCTGGCTCCATGGCAGCTCTCTGATTCTGCCTTCTTTCTCCCAGCATTCTGTTTTGTCTACTTCACCTATCTATGCTGCTGTCCTATCAAAAGGCCAAGGTGGCCTCTTTATTTGACCAATGAAAGCAACACATAGAAAGAAGACCATCCTACACCAGTATGCCAAGCCTGGCTCTTCCCTGGTCACCAGGAGTAGCCCCAGCCTGGCTCTTCCCTGGTCACTTTTCTCAGTGATATGATGGCACAGCTGACAACAGCAGCTTGTGGTGGGGACAGTGACAGAAGCTGTGGTCACATTGTGTCTGCAGCTGGGGACAGAACCAGATGAACGCCTGAGGTCAGTGAGCTGTCCCCTTTCCAGCCAGGCTGGGACCTCAGTTTATGGAATGATGCCCCTGACCTGCCATGGCTCTTCTTTCCTCTATGAATCTCTCTGGAAACGTCCTTGTAGATACCGTCAGAGGTGAGTCTCCTAGCCGATTCTGAATCACAATCTTACAGCACTTTCACACAAATTGCTTATGCATTTCAAGTAGGAAAACTAATGCACACAAGGTGTCAAAACTGAACAACCACTTCCCTGCATGTCGCAAGGAGCCTCACCAATGAAGGGAAACCAAGCAACTAACTTGTGCCTTGCAAAGGAAGTAATGTCATCTATTGAGCACTGTGTTTGGGGAATCCACATGTCAGGATAATGACAAGGAATCTACCAAGAAGTTAAAACATGAGGAATGTTGTATTTAAAAAATGAAGGCGGGGGTTGACTGAATTTCTCAAAATGTCAATGTCACAGATTCAACGCAATGCCCATCAAAATCCCAGCAAAATTCTTCAAAGACCACGAAAGAACAGTACTCAACTTCATATGGAAAAGCAAAATCCAAGGATAACCAAAACAATCCTATACAATAAAAGAACTTCTGGAGGCATCACAATCCCTGATTTCAAACTCTACTACAGAGCTACAGTACTGGAAACACCCTAGTACTGGCATAAGAACAAACAGGAGAATCAATGGAACCAAATAGAAGACCCAGATATCAATCTACACATCTTCAAACACTTGATTTTTGACAAAGTAGCAAAAAAATATCAAATGGAAAAAAGAAAGCATATTTAACAAGTGGTACTGGCATAACCTGATATCAACATGTAGTAGAATAAAAATAGACTCATATCTATCAGCATGCACAAAACTCAAGTCCAGATGGATCAAAGACCTCAACATAAAGCCAGCCACACTGAACCTTACAGAAGAGAAAGTGGAAAGTACAGTTGAATGCATTGGCACAGGAGACCACTTCCTAAATATAACCTCAGCAGCACAGACACTGAGAAAAGCAATTAATAAATGGGACCTCCTGAAACTGAAAAGCTTCTGTAAAGCAAAGGACATGGTCAACAAAAGAAAATGACAGCCTATAGAATGGAAAAAGATCTTCACTAACCCCACATTAGACAGAGGGCTGATCTCCAAAATGTACAAAGAACTCAAGAAATTTGACACCAAAAGAACACATAATCCAATAAAAAAAATGGAGTACAGACCTAAACAGAAAACTCTAAAATGTCTGAAAGACACTTAAGGAAATGTTCAACATCCTTAGTCATCAGAGAAATGCAAATCAAAACAACTCTGAGATTCCGTCTTACAACTGTAAGAATGGCCAAGATCAAAAACACTGATGGCAACTTATGCTGGAGAAGTTGTGGGGAAAAGGGAACACTTCTACATTGCTGGTGGGAATGCAAGCTGGTTCAACCATTTTGAATATCAGTGTAGTGATTTCTCAGAAAATTAGGAAACAACCTCCCTCAAGACCCAGTAATTCCACTTTTGGGTATATATCCAAAGGATGCTCAATCGTGCCACAAGGACATGTACTCAGCTATGTTCATAGCAGCTTTGTTTGTCATAGTCAGAACCCGGAAAAAACCTAAATGTCCCTCGACCAAAAAATGGATAAGGAAAATGTGGTATATTTT